ATTACAACCTTCTTTCCCTGTTCGCTTTGCATGGTGAAATCAATAGGCTTTGGTATCTCCTGTTACTGTTCTTCAACCCCTTACCTCAACGAAATTTACATCTTCGAAAAGCGATATTCAATGATCTACACAACCCCGGGGAAATGGAGTTTCAAATTTGTTCGAGTGATTTTATGCTGATAGTGGAATGAAAATACCTAATTTCGTTTCTGTAGATGCTCTCAGAGAGGAATACGAGGAGGTTGAATTTTGTTGAGGTAAGGGGTTGAAGAACAGTAACAGGAGATACCAAAGCCTATTGATTTCACCATGCAAAGCGAACAGGGAAAGAAGGTTGTAATAGCAAGGGTGCAACTGTGAAGGTTCTCATGTTATTCTGTCAGTTCGTGGCAAAATTCACAGGTTTGCTTCAGAACAAACAATTTATTATTTAATGTGACGATGACATTTATTATAACAGGGGGACGCTTACGATCATTAGATTTTAGTGATCTCCAGAACCCCGGGAAATCGAGCTTCAAATTCGCTGGAGGGATTCTGCGTTGAGAGAGGAAGAAGGATACCAAATTTCTTTCTTGTTGCCCTTACGGAAAAATCCTATGGGATCCTATGAGATTTTTGAAACATAAAAATCTTATAGAATTCCTATAGGATTCTTAAAGGATTCCTATAGGATCCTAAAGGAACTCTATGGGATTCCTATAATAATCCTATAAGATTTTTATATTTCAAAAATCTCATCAGATCCTATAGGATTTTTTCGTAAGGGTGACGCTCTCAAAGAGGAATATGAGGAGGTTGAATTTTGTCGCGGGAAGGGGTTGAAGAAAGGTAAAAGGGGCACCCAAAGCCTATTGATGCAATTATTCATACACGAATACATTTGAATGACCCAAATACAGGGAAAACGCCGCAATTTTGTATATTTCTACTGCTTACGAAGAACAATAAAAATGTTAATGTTCAGCTGCACACAGCAAAATTAATTTACTGCAACTCGGAGTTCGACTTTTGGTTTTCATAGATGAGAAAATAATTATTATTTTCCATTTTAAGATCGAAGAACTCTATTTCACCATCATCTGAATTCGCTGGGCTAATCCAGCAATGGCAATTGAAACAACTATTACAAAAATAAGACTTTCGACTGAAGTGAGTCACAAAGACGATTCGAAAGGAAACATTCAACTCATTGTATCGTCGCAGGTCGAACGTCGAAAGCCTCTTCGAAATCCGAAATTGCACTCAGAACAGCGATGTTAAACGTCTTTGCCTTCCCCGGAGCAGATGTGGTGCACCTGGAGGACTTGAAGTACCGCCGTCGCTTCGGTCGGACGTGGGGAGAATACGAGGGCTGCCACCCAATTCTCTTCACGACAGACCATGACTTGATCAAAGTGATCACCGTCAAGGAGTTCTCCAACTTCGCCGACCGGCGAAATTACGATATCAAACAGGAAATTTTCCGAAACAATCTCGCCCTCTTACAGGTTAAGCCTTTTTCCATTCCCTTATTCTAAGGTATCTCACATTCATTCCTTCATCTAACTCATGTTACCCATTTCCGTTCTCTATTTTTAAATTTCCATTCTGATGGAAACAACAATGTAACCAGAGTTTAAATCAAGAAAAGGGCATGGGTGGAACCATAAATAGGGTTGGCAGGTTCATGGGGAAACGGTGCCACCTCTAAACTTTTCCCAAAAACATATAGAATTTACCTTGAAAGAGCATCGTGATTGAGGGTGAAATACATGAAAATTAAGTCCTTAACATATTTTTGCCTATTTCTGTGTGAAAATGAAATGGAGTCATGAAATCCAGGGATGCTTGAAGGGGCATGGGGAGATCTTTGAGGTTCAATTCCTATCTCGGGATTCAGACTCCGTTTCAGACTGGCATCCCCCCCGCCATCTGTCTCCATTTGTTATGACTGGTGCTTATTCCCATCCCCTCAATGCACTTCGATTAATTACTTCTACTTGGGGGATCCTATCGGAGGTAGAGGTTCGCCTTCATCTAGTAAATTAAGGAAGACTCAGATACGCGAGAATTCACTCGAAGTATGTGAAATGCAAAGATGGTGGGAAGGGAGACATCGTTTAGCGTGTTACAAAACACTAGAATTAGCTTCCGCGTCTATTGCAGAACCTGAGAAATCACGTTCGCAGCCTAGTCATTCCATGAAAAATCAACCAAGCGGTAACACCCGACCCTCTCCGATTTTCATGAAATTTTTTATTTGACCTTGTTATTCTACGAAACCCGGAAAAAACGAAATTTCAGCGTTATCGCATCGCTAGATCAAAAGCTACAGAGTGCTCAAAAGCAAAGCCGGAAACTTAAGGAGAACGTTGGTGTGCTTGGGCAACCGGAAAAAAAAAACATTGAAGGAAAAGCACTTGTGCGCATATCTATAATGTCATTATTATGTTCGTTATTACAATGTTATTATTATGCTATCATTATAATGTTCGCATCCTCACGTGATTTCATATGAATTGATACATTGATCAAGGATCTGCCATAAGTGTTTTTTGAGTTATACGTGAATCAAAATGGGATGTAAGTAGACATCTCTAAATGATACCAGCTTATTTATTGACCCAATTGCACTGAAATTTGGCTCTTCCTTGTTCTGCGGAATAGGAAAGTAAGATACATCACGAAAATCGGACGTGGTTGGGTGTTAATATCCGATTTTTTTGTTGATTTGTCATGGAATGACCCGATTAGACAATGAAATTATCCAAATTTAATAAAATTTGAAATATACACAGATTTCAGGTTTCATATAGATTATGTTTTCACAGTGATGTTTACATTCCGCTTATTCACACCTATTATACGAGCTTTCTTGCTGACGTTGCTTGCGAGTTATGAAATTTGCCTTAAGGGTCACGTGTTACAGAAGGCCTAAACCTTCGAAATTCCCATCTCATGCACCAAGAGGCGGAAAATATAAACATTTCGGATTCTGACATTTCATGGGAGTACAGATAATTCGAATAGATCCAAATGACGCAATTTCACCGAAATCGAGGAGAAAAAGGGTCTTTTTTATTGTGTTGCATCGTGGAATAGCCCCTACACAACATAGGTTGCTGGGATGGGTTGATTCAAAAATTGTTTTCTCACATTCAAATTTTTTAATATTTTGTAATTTTTTCCATCGCTAGAGAAAACATAGACCTTTCCACTGAGTTTTTTTCAGTATTTAAATTAGGGGACTCATCCCAAGTTTAAAGGTCAAAATTTTTGCCGATAAAAAACTTTGCATTTTTCCAGAGAGACCGTGTTTGCCACTTTTTCACATCCTCACGTTATTCCAAGTGAATTGACACCTTGATCAAGGACTTAACATGAATCGTTCTTGAGTTACAGGGCTTTGAAAATCGGAGGTAGGATGGTATCACTAAATTTTGAGCACCCTGTAGCTTATGATCTAGCGATGCGATAACGCTGAATTTTCGTTTTTCCGGATTTCGTCGAGTAACGATGTCAAATTAAAAATTTCATGAAAATCGGAAAGGGTCGGGTGTTAATTTCCTACTTTTGGGGGCGATTTGTCCTGAAATTACCCAGCCAGGATCGAGGCGAGGCAGCGCCGCATACCATAGCTTCATCAGTCCATCTCACAACCACCATAATTGCTCGCTCCTTTGGCTCGAGAAGGTTGACGCTCGTGCTGCAAAATGCAGCTTGTGCGACATGTTATGGGGAAGTAGATATGAAGGTGTTGAGGAGAGCAGCCTAATTCGAATCATTCGCCCTGGAGAAATTATTATTTGCAGGGATTCGAGCTGTAAAGACCTTTCCGCAATCCTCGGCCTGATTAAAATAAAAAAGAGTGGAAAATAAATTGGGAATGCTGCGTCTCTCTAAAATACTATGAGAGCAAACTCGCTGAAGTTGGGGAGGTGGGGGGGGGGGGGGGTGGGACGCACCCAATGTTATTCATACTTAACATGACTGTTCCGAATTTTTAGCGGTGTGTCTAGTAGGAATTCTAAGGGGCAGCATTCGATCAATCTCTATTGGGAAGACGTGTATATTTCACGTGTTACAACTACAAAGTCAGGTAATTTGCAAGTTAAGAATGTAAAAAATGTTAACTGCGTTACTTGAATATGATACTAAGTTGTCAACTGCCATTCCTATATTTTCCTTTCGCACCTTAAAGAGATTTTAAAAAATTAATTGTTGCATTTACTACTTTCAAGGCTTGTTCGTTTTCATTGATTCAAGTAACATATTTTGCAAATGACTATTTCTTCAAGAACTTTTCTCTTTGCTTTTCGTCTCATGTTCCTCATTTACTCAACCTTCTTATGAATTTATCGATGCTAATGACGTTTCCACCTTCAACTTTCATTTCTTCGATTATTTCACTTGCACTCCGCTGAATTTTTCCCGTCAGGGTGAGCAATGGAAAGCAGTGCGATCCTTGTTGGGGCCAGGATTCACGGGACGCCGAATGAAGAGTGCGGTGGACACTTTCCTGGAATCCGCCAAGACCTTGACGCAACTGCTGAAGCGAGACGGGAAAGATGGAAAGAAAGGTCTTGAGATCACCAGGTCTGTCGCATAACCGCTGAATTACCACACCCTTAGCTTCGGTAAATGCAGCCCAAGAGACAAGTCATAACGCTAGAAATTTTTTTAAATACCAGCCCTAGCTTTGAGAAACTCCTTTGTGAGAATATAAGGCATTTTTGATTGCGCTATTGCGTTTACCCTTCACTCCTTACTTTGTCATTCACCATTCTGTCATGCAGTTGAAGTTGAGGAATACTATGAATTCAATCGGGAATGATGAAACCCTTTCAATCTTTCATTGTTTTAGCATGTGACATGTGTATTGGAAGCGAAACGAAATAAAAATGCGTCCAGAGTCGCCAGAGTCCAGAGTCAGAGTCCAGATTCGAAATTCTTAATCCAAATGATTCTCCCAGAAATACTTGAGATTATAGGTTCTTCATCGATGGGTTAATTTTGAGGCAATCGCCAGGGGCACTGGATGAAAAACTCAAAGTTACTCCGAGTTTGCAGTCTTTGTTTAATAGTATGATTTTTTTTTCGTCTGAAGGTATTTGTCCTGCTTTGCATTTGACGTAATCACCTCATATGGTTTTGGCGTGGAAGTTTCGTCCATGGAAAATGCCGAAAATCCATTTGTGAAAAATGCAATCCGCCTCTTCACCTCTGCGAACTTCGGAAACCCCATGATCGTATTCGCGCGTGAGTGGAAAGTTTACGAGTTTTTTTTTCCAGTTGTGACAAATATTTTTTGTAAAAATTGTTAAAATTTTTTAGAGCGTTGAAAGCCCGTCATTCGATGTGATTTTTCATTTCTAGTGGCATTCCCAAAAATATTGAGTTTCTTGGACTTGTTTCCGCCGGATGCGCATGACTTCTTCGTCAAGGCTATCCCGGACATCGTCAAGGCTCGGAAGGATAGTCTGGATTCCGGCTTGAGGAAGGATTTCGTCGACATCATCCTTCAGGCGATCAAGCAGGTATAGTCTGCAGGTTAAATTAATGCTAATTGGTGGTACATGAGAAACTATTGATTTTCAAACGAGACGTTATGCGTTAGCGTTTAAAACTCATTTTATTTCTTGATTCACCCTCGCAATAGGTTTTCATTTTCATTTATAAGAAATAATTTTGACAAGGAAGAACTACAAACTAACCCAAGGTAACGAAACTCATTGATCGGCGTCAGAGTAGTAGCCGCATTAACATGCAAACTATACGACTTCAAAAGGAGTGATCCGAGGCAGTGCTTTAAAGAAAGTACTTCTTTCTTGGTTCTGCTGCAGTTGGAGGAGAACAAGGAATACAAGCGGATGGGAATAACGCAAAAGTTGCTGGAGGAACAGCTCATGTTATTTTTCATCGCCGGCTTCGACACGGTGAAGACGGCCATGAGTTTCACTTCCTACTACCTCGCCCTCCACCCGGACATCCAATCCCAAGTGAGAGAGGAGATCCTGGATGCCATCAAGGAAACGGACGGAGAGGTCAGACACGACACCTTATCCAAGTTACCCCTCTTGGATGCATGCATCGCTGAGTCACTTCGCCTTCATCCCCCACTTAATCGCCTGGAAAGGGTCGCCAAACGTGACTTTCAGTAAGATTTTTTTTTCCCTATTTGACAAAAACTTGAACATTCAAAAACTCTATTCTTATGCAATTCAATTTAGGATGTATTCCCTTATTAAGGTACTACGGGAACATAAAAATCGACCCCCCTGGATCAAAAT